AAGATTCGGACACACATGCTACAACATAGATAAACCCTGAAGCCATTATGCCGAGTGAAACAAGCCAGTTACAAAAGGATACATATTGTTCCATTCTACTTATACAAATGTCTAGAATAGTCAAATTCACAGAGACAGAACATAGAGCGGTGGCTGCCAGGGGCTGGGGAGTGGGGGATTGGAGAATTAAGTGTTTAATGGGTACAGAGTTGTCAGTTGGGGATAGCTAAAAAATTCTAGAAATGGATGGCGAGGATTGCATAACAATGTGAATGTACTTATGGAGCTGAACTTTACATTTTAAAATTGTGACAATGGTAAGTTTTATGTCACATATATTGTATCACACACAAAAAAGACAGGTTAAACTAATATGTCCTCAAGGAGTTTGCAAACTAGCATGGCAAAGAGAAATGATGGTTGGTGGTTACTACATGGTGTGGGGATAAAAAATGACTATTTACTGAGGGTGATGGAGGAGTTGTACTTGAGAGGGGTGGCTGGGTTAGATGACCCTCCAATCCTGAGATTCAGTGGGTTTATGAGCGCTTCAAATTTGGGATGGCAGTAGGATACAAGATGGTGTATACAGAGGACAAGACTTCATTTCATGTAGCAGATATCCTCCTCTCCAAGCGCTTGTCCTGCTTTATCTGGGTTTACCCTAAAGTCCTCATCCATACTCATGGTTCAAAAAATCCAGACTGGAGGTGAGAGCCAATCTCTCCAGAAAAAATGTATAAAACATAGGAGACCAACCTGGGAGCCTAGACGGGGGTGGGCACATCAATTGCAGAAAGCCCAGGTCAGTCTAGACTTTGTCATTATGAACATCTTCAGCCCTTCATCATCTAAGTCTCAAAGATCCCACTCTCTGATAACCAACTTGCTTTTTTCCAACTGAATCTCTCTAATCCCCCACTGCACGATTCCTTGACATCCTGGGGCCTCCAATCCATTAACCTAACACCTTTTCACTTTCCTCAACACCATCATTTATGTCCTCTTTTCTCTCCTTCCTTGGTTTAAATGCCATGGTCCTTCCTTATAATCATTCCCTTGCATAGATGCTCCATGCTCTTGTCCCTCTCTCCTCCAACATATTCAGCTGTGAACTCCAAACTCTGGTTGTATCTGGACCTCTGTCTAGCATTATTTGTACCCAAATAGGCAAATGAGGCTGGTGAGAATACACAACTATACCAACTGGCCTCCCTTTATATCTTGGTCCCTGACTTCAAATGAACCCTTAGTGTTATCCAGCAATCTGACTATATTTTCAGAGTCTATTTACTCTCTCACTGCCCCTGGATGATATTTCATACTTTTTATCCTCTTCTCAAACTTCCTCTCTTTCCACTGATAACCTTGCTTCTTCTCTGATAAAACATTTTTCTGCCTCCACATTAACCAGCATCTGTGCCCATATGTTCTGCCTCCCCTCCTATCAGAAAAGAATTCTATTTTCTCTATCTTCTCCAATTTAACCCCAACATTCCTTTTGTGCGTTGGATCCCACCCCTGCTCATCTACTCAAGAACATTGCTACAGCAATTATCTTCACTCCTCTGCATCCTCACTTTTTCCTTCTCTTTTGGCTCATGGCCATGAGCATACAAACAGGCATATCTTCCAATTAAAAATAAAAATCTCTCTCTTGACCATATATTTCTTCCAGCTATTCATCTTCCTGATCTCTGACCTTTGGAGTGCCCCAGGGCTCAGACTTCACTAAATTCTATCTGCACATCACCTATATGCTAAGGTCTCCCAATTAATAGCATTATCCCAGACTCATCTATCTAAATGGCTTCTTGACAACTCCAAACTTCAAGTGTCCAAAATGGAACTCTTAATCCCCAGCAACCCTTCCCTCCCCTCCCCCAACCCCACAACTTGCTTCTCAAGCTGTCTTCCCTGCTTAGCATAAGGAAACTCTTTTCTTCTAATTGCTCCAAGTAAAAACCTTGACTGATCCTGATTCCTTTTACTCTCTCATGTCCTACATCCAATTAATCAGCCAGTCCTGTCAGCTTCTCCTTGGGAATATATCCAGAACCTGCCCACTTCTTACCAGCTCTACTGCTAGGGTTTTGAATCAGTGAGGGTTGTCGAAGAGACAAAACCAGGTATATATGAATGAAACATATATATTATGGAGGCTGAGAATTTCTACGATCTGTAGTCGGAAAATGGAGACCCAGGAAAATTGGTGGTATAATTCCTGTCTGAGTCCAAAGGCCTGAGAAGCAGGAGAGTAAATGGTGTAACTTTCAGTTTGAGGCCAAGTCTGAAGGCAGGAAAAAATTGATGTCCCAGTTCAAAGATAGGCCCAGAGAGGGGCGCCTGGGTGGCTCAGTTGTTAAGTGTCTGCCTTTGGCTCGAGTCATGACCTCAGGGTCCTGGGATCAAGCCCTGCATCGAGCCCTGCATCGAGCCCTGCATTGGGCTTCTGCTCTGCGGGAAGCCTGCTTCTCCCTCTCCCACTCCCCCTGCTTGTGTTCCCTCTCTTGCTGTGTCTCTCTCTGTCAAATAAATAAATAAAATCTTAAAAAAAAAAAAAAAAAAAGGCCCAGAGAGGACAAATTCTCCCTTTTCCAGGGAGAATTGTTCTATTCCATTGTTCTATTCAGGCCTTCAACAGATTGGATGAGGCCCACCCATACTGAGGAGGGCAATTTACTTTACTTATTCTATAGATTCAATCAATAATGGTGTAGAGGAGATAAATCTCCCCTGCAGAAGAATTTATAAAATTGGCCTTCTTCCATCCTCTCCCCTAATTTGTCAACACAACAGAAAAAAAAAAAAAAAAAAGCCATATCAGGTCACTCCTCTACTGAAAATTCTTCGATGTCTTCCTTTCTCAATCAGGGTAAAATATTAAGACTATCATGACCACCTAGGCCCTACATACACTGTTCTCCACTCCTAGCTCCACCACCCATTGCCCACTCCTTCTGTTCTACCCACACTGATACTATTCTTAGAAGCCAAGCATGCTCTTGCCTCAGGGCCTTTATATCTGCAGATCTCTCTGCTGGAAATGGTCATAACCCAAATATCCACACTGTTTCCTCCCTCAAACTGTTTTCTTATCTTAGAGACCTTTGAAATAAACCCCCCTTTTTTTGTTTTTAGTTTATTATAACACCCCTCATCTCTCTTATTTTGCTTAACTTTTAAAATAAATTTCATTTTTGGGCGCCTGGGTGGCTCAGTTGGTTAAGCGACTGCCTTCGGCTCAGGTCATGATCCTGGAGTCCTGGGATCGAGTCCCGCATCGGGCTCCCTGCTCGGCAGGGAGTCTGCTTCTCCCTCTGACCCTCCCCCCTCTCATGTGCTCTCTCTCATTCTCTCTCTCAAATAAATGAATAAAATCTTTAAATAAATAAATAAATAAATAAAAAATAAAATAAATTTCATTTTTTAGGACAGTTTTAATTTACAGAAAAATTGCAAGGATAGTATAAAGTGTTCTCATAAATGTTGTTCCCATTTTTCCCTATTACTACCATTGTACAGTTACTATGGCACATCATCATAACTAATGAACCAATCTTGATACTATACTGCTAATGAAAGTCCATACTTTATTGAGAGTTTCTTAGTTTTTGAAAAAGATTTATTTATTTATTTGAGAGAGAGAGAGCAAGAGCACGAGCATGAGTGGGGCGGGGGAGGGGTATAGGGAGAGGGACAATCTTAAGCAGACTCCCCACTGAGTGGGGAGCCCTCTAACGTTCCATCTCACAACCCTGATATCATGATCTGAAAGGAAATCAAGAGACTGACTCTTAACTGAATCAGCCACCTAGGTAAACCCTCCTTAGTTTTTACCTAATGGCCTTTTTCTGTTGCAGGATCCCATTCAGGATACCACAAACATTTAAGTGTAATGTCTCCTTAGGCTCCTCTAGGCTGTGGCAGTTTTTCAGACTTTCCTTGTTTTTGATGACATTGACAGCTTAGAGAAGTATTGGTGGGGTATTTTGTAGGATGTCCCTCTGCTGGAATTTGTCTGATGTTTTTCTTATGATAAGCTGGGGTTATGGGCCTGGGGAGGAAGGCCACAGAGGTAAAGTGACATTTTCATCACATATCAAGAGTGTATACTATCAATATGATTTATGACTGTTAATGTTGACCTTGATCATTTGGCCAAGATCGTGTTTTTTAGGTGTCTCCATTGTGAAGTTACTCTTTTTCCCCCTTTCCATACCTTACGTTTTGGGATTAGTCACTTTGAGCAAGGAGTGGGAAGTTGTGCTTCACATAAATTTTTACAAGTTCTTCTGCATCTCCTCTCCACCTATTCATTCAACTACTTATATCATTAGGAACTCATGGATTTTCTTTTTACTTTGATTGCAGTCTACTACCACTATTTATTTTGTTGCTCAAATTGTTCTAGCTTCAGCCATTGGGAACTCTTTCTGTTGGCTTCTGCATTTCTCTGAAAATTCCCCATCAATGAAGGCTTTTTTTTTTTTTTAGCATTTCCTAACTTTTGAGCCTCAGTCTTATTTTTCAAGATACTTACCACCATTCCGCGTAATACACCCTTAATCCGTTTATCTTTCCGCACTGGAATGCCAGGTCTTCGAGGGCAGGGTCTTGGAGCTATTTTTATCCAGGGTAGTATCCTCAGTCCTTGAGTGGACACTCCGTTGGTACTGAATGAATGAATGTACCCGGCTGGGGCTCAGGGCTACTTGAGAGGGTGAGTCGGAGGGGGCTCTGGCAAGACCGTGCTCAGCCTCCCCGCCCGCCTCCTGGCGGGTCCCATCAGGTGCAGGGCCGGCCCCAGCCTCTCGCACTCACACCCACACTCAGAACCGGCTGCACGGGTCCGGCCGGCAAACGTCACCAGCGCCAGGGGGATTCCCGGGGAAAGTCCGATGCCTCCGGCCCCCCGCCCCGCGCGGGGGTGGGGGAGCGGGTGAGGTGCCTCGGTCAGCACGCGGAGAGGGCCTGTGGGCGCCCAGGAGAGGGGAGGCGGCTGGAGCCGACCCGCAGGGGCGCACGGACTCCGGGCGGGGCGGGGACCGACGCGCGGGCGGCCGGCGCAGTCGTCCCGGGGCGGGGCCTGCGCCCCCAGCTGCGGGCGCTGCAGACGCTGCAGACACAGGGGCTGGGCCGGCGGCGTCCAGATGCGGCGGCGGCGGCGCGGAGCTCGGGCGGCTGAGGAAGAGCCCGGTCCCGGCCGCGGGAGGCGCCGGGAGCCTCGCCGCCAGGAGTCGCGCGACAGGTTTCCTTCCTTCTCACGACTCCCCGCGTAGGACCGGCGCCCGCGCGGGCCAGGGCTTCCCCGTTCGCGCGCTCGGTCCTGTTCCTGGTTCGTTTTTTCCCTTTGTACCTCTTTGTCTCTCCTTAACTGGCCCAGGAGCGAGGATGCGCCCCGCCAAGCTGTGCGCGGAGAGCCGCGGGGGGACGCCGGGGTGGCCTCGCTGGCTGGGCTTCGAGGGACGTCTTTGGGGGGATCTCGGGTCTGGCCGCGGTGCTCACGCCGCCGCCTCGCGCCTCAGCGAACTCGGCCCTGGGTTTCTCGTGTACAGCGAGTGACTTTTTTTCTCTCTCAGTGGGCAAGGGACTCCGCATTTAGGGCTGCATTGAAATTACTTCGGGTTCCTGTTGATAGGCTTCCCTTACAAAGTGTGCGCCTAAGACTACTTTGGTTTTAAGTCCAGAGGCTGAAGTTCTTTTGAATTACCGGGGACATTACTTCGGTGCGATCGCCTGTTCACTTCCTATTTTATTTTTATTAATTAATTTATTTATCAACTTATTTATTTATGAGAGAGTGAGCGGGGGTAGGGGCGGGGGGGCAGAGAGAGAGAGAGAGAATCTCAAGCAGGCTCCACGCTCAGCGCAGAGCCCAAGAGGGGGCTTGATCTCAGGACACTGAGATCATGACTTGAGCCAAAATCAAGAGTCTGCCGCCTAACCAACTGAGCCACCCAGGTGCTGTTCACTCCCTATTTTAGGCTGCACTTTCTCAAAAACACCAGAATGGGTACTTCTTGACTTGAACTTGACAATATGACTCAGGAGCCAGGAAATACGGAGAAATTGATATTGCCTTGAGCTAGTTCCTTCCAAGCCCACATAAAAAAGACTTTCTTTTTAGAAGAACGAAGACAAGAAATAGTGGCAAGGTGACTGCCAGAGCCACACAGCCCTGAGAGGGAATTCTAGACTCCTCTGACAATAGCTGAGAAGTGTATTACTTCCTGTGGTTCTCATGCACTTGTTGAAGCCGTTTCTCAGCAAAGGGAGGAGTTGTTATTTCCACACGGGTATCCAAAAATGACTCACAGGGCTGCTCTTTTAATTGTGAGACTTTGTTAATGAACTTTTGAAAAGTGAGGTTCACTCTGGGTGTGTGTAAAGTAAGACTAAGATATAAAGTGCGTGCACTGCTAAACTGGGGCCGGTGGTATAGGAAGTAACAGTTTAAGTTTTCCATTTCCTAAAGCACCTGATGGTACAGCCTACCAGCTAGGGTCACTGGGCTGATGTAAGATAACCATTCAAATCGTGTGCTTTGCTGCAGAGGCCCAAGAGAAAATTAAGTTCGTTGTTCAATAACCAAGTGTTACTACTTTCACTGGTATGGTATGGTAGAAATATGTTGTTTTACATAGTGATTGAATGTCACTCTCTGAATCCAAATATTTTGGACAGTTTGTCTTTAGTAAATTAGTGCCACATGAAAATATTTGAAGATGGTGGATACCTGTTGGAGGTGAGATATTAACATATTTAAGCTGATAGGTCCCATTGCAGCTGGGTAGTGGCTCTTGGGAAAGGACTGTGCACTGTCTCAACACATAGTAGAGAAGGGGACAGCATCTCTGTTGGAGCTGAGTTGAGCTGAGGTCAGCCCAGCAAACAGTTACCAGGCACCTTCTTTGTGCCACGCTTTTCACAGAGGTCTGGTTATACAATCGTAAATAAGACAGGATGCTGCTGAAAAGGGCCATAAACACTAGTGTGGAAGGTTGGAAAATCCAATGAAGGAGATGGGCACTTTGACAAATCTGTGTCCACAGAAGAGCTTCTGTCTTGATATATTTCTGCAGATCTGGGATTTGAATGAACTGTGTCATCATTGCTGGAAGAATGAGGAAAGTTTTGAGTTTGATCATCTACTTGTCTTTGTAGATAGCCTGTTGTGCTTATTCAGTAAGCATTTCATTCAATGAGTGATTTAACAATGTATTAATTAGAAAGGAATGATTCTTAAAGTGTTTGAATTAACCATATTTCATATTATTTATAACCATGTAAAAAGAAACTGAGTCTGTTATTACCCCTAGACAGTTGCAGGCACTTAGAGTTACTTACCTTTTAAAAACAGAGTGGCTAGTTAATGGCCTATAACTTTATAACACCATATTGAAACAACTTTCTGATTATTGTTTTTTTATAGTTCAAATCAACCTTTTCCAACACATCATAGCTGTAAAGTCAAAATGACTAAATCTACTGTGTCACAGTTTATTGTTGAGATTGACGTCTGCTGAGGTACTTTTGGACTTGATGCCAAAATATATTCAATTTCTACAATTCCATAAGGTATTCCAACTAGTGGGGGAAACAGTGCTAAACTTGAGACAACTCATTCTCAATTTCCATATTTCATTTCTCCCTCAAGGGCGTCAAAGTTACTTTTTCTATGAGAAAGAAAGGATTGACTGTGTTCTTCATCATTGTATTCCCTGACCTTGGTACAGGCATTACTCATGGCAGGTGTTAGGAAGTATTTATTGATTAAATAATGAGCCTCAGTGTAAGAGGGGGAGCTGTCGGGCAGATGGAGGGATAGTTGACCCAGCAGAAGGATCAGCGCTGTACTGTTAGGGAACTCCAGCCTGGTCAGTATGGGCATGGGGTGAGGGCTAGGGAGACAAACTGGGCCACATTACAAAGTCCCATGTGCCATGTTGGACCTGTGACTTTATCCCATAGAAGACTTCAGCAGGTGACTGATATTGCCAGATATGTGTTTTGGAAAGACAATTTAGAATCAAGATGGAGAATAGATTGGATGAGCACAACACCAGCCTTATGGGAGACACACAGGAGATTACTGTAATATTTGAGAAGAGAAATTGGAGAAGGCTTGAGTCAGGCAGTGATAGTGAGGAGTGGAAAAGAGGAAAGGAGCTGACATGTCTAATAGGCAGAACTTGGCCACATCTTTAGGGGTGGGCAGTGAGGGAGAGGAAGGAGTTTAGGATGACTCCTACATTCCTAGTTAATGACTAGGATGAGAACCTAAGTAGAAGAATAGGTTTGTGCTAAAGGACCATGAGGCCCTTATACAGTGCTTGGCACATAATCAGTGCTCATTAAAATTTTTGAATGAATAATAATAGCTAAAATGTATAGAGTGCTTATTAGTGCCAGGCACTATTCTAGGCTCATTATGTGACTTCAGTCTTCTACTTCTCATTGCATCCCTGTGAGTTAGGTACTACAATTGACTGCTTTTGACAGGTGAAGTAAGCGTAATGTTAGTAACTGATAGAGCTAGCAATTGATCCCATGCACTTGGTTCCAGAGCTTACATTCTGAACCACATTGCTTTGACATGGTATCTCTAAGAATGAATGAATAAATGAATGAATGAATGAGTGAGTGAATGAGTAAGTGAATGAATGAATGAATGAAGTCTCAGACGCTGTGGTATACTCAAATTGGAGTCATTGTCTTGATGCCAACAATTCTTTCTCGTCCAGGGATGGCCCAATATATAAGATGGACCCTCAGTGGCCCTATTGTGCTGCATGGCATCGCTCCCCCTACCTTCACCCCTAGATATATTTGGTTGATCTAAGAATAAGCCTAGAAACTTCCCTTATCTTTACATCCCACCCTGAAGTATTTAATCAGTTGCTCCTCACAGTCTGGGGAAAGCAGCTTTTTCTGCCCGACTGTCCTGTCTCCACGCTTTAATAAAACCACCATTTTGAACTAAAACAAAACAAAACAAACAAACAACAACAACAACAACAAAACAGAAGGAATAAGCCTAGAATAATCAGAAAATTTCTCCTGGGGATTTGAAACACTTTTATGGAGACTCACTCTGGCTGTGAGTTTCCAGAACTTCAACAAATGTGTCTTTAGAGCTGCCTAGATTACCACTCTCCCCAAACGCTGAATGTTCACTGCTTTGCATTTCTTGGATGTAGTCAATGATCTGTTGCAGAAATCTGTAGTATCCCTCTTGTGGGGAAACAGAGAGGTTGGCCAGGGGATATTAATCTACAGAGCAGGGTCCAATGGTAGAAGAATTGCTAACAAATTCAGGCAGGTGCATAACTCCAAATCTTACACTCCCGGTTTGTGATCTACCTTCTGGGGCCTGTTTTATTCTGGTTTTACCCCGAAGCAGGTCTTGCCTCTAACTTCCAGAATCTTACTAAGTGAAGCTGGCCCGCAGTGTCCCCTGTTTTCTTGATTATAACTAGGCAAAATGACTCAGATTTCTAGGGGTTGGGACCTATTTTCTATTTTTAGTATCCAGATAGATTCTTTTGGTCCCAATAAAGGTATTTTTGACAAACAAGCCAAGCTCCCCACTTCCCCCCAAAATCTGGCCTCATCTCTTCACTGTTCTCATTATTTCATGAGTTAGATTAAGATTTTGATATTTGTTCAGCAAGCGGGGTCTAATTATCTTTTTCTCAAAAACCTCTACTTTGAACTATTTAAGGATTATAAATACTGAATTGATGTTCTACCTAAACTGAATCAGCAAACTCATCTTAAGGTTGAAGTTTTAAAATATTTTCTCCATGCATGAAGGAAATGTTTCATTCAGGATCTCTTCAGGCTTAACAGGAAAACAAGGTATTTATAGCTTCCCCCTATATGGGGAGACACTATATGGGGAGACATGTCTTTCCACTATATGGAAGACACGAAGCCTTCTGGAATGATCCAACCCACATGATCACCCCTTGTTCTGAATTCCTGTATGCCTGCCTGTAATTTATTCAGTACTCAAATAATAAGAAAGGGAAGGATTTTGGTTAATATTTCATGTGGGTTTGTCTTGCCTCTTCTTTTTAACTGTGGTTTCTCTGAGAGCAGAGAATCACTGAAGTTGGGGGCTTTCATAAGTCTCTCAGCTTCCTTCCAGTTATAATCATTCTGTGACTCTTGCTGATAATAAAGCCATCTGTCAGATTAAGTCATTCATTAGCCACTCCTTCTGAGTCTGTGAATACCAGACATTATTTGTATATCTCATTTAAGTTCTTGGTAAGGCTCAGTAATTTGGTAATTTTTAATATAAAGCATAGTTTTAGAATTGATAATTTC